AGTCCAGCACATTGATGACCACACACTCCTGGCGGGACACAGTCGGTCAGTCACGTTACTGGACACAACGATGCGACTGTCTCTCTCTCTCTACCTGTCTCCCTCTCCCTCCACCTGTCTCTACCTCACTCTCCTGCGAGCGGAAATGTCAGACATGTCCGTCGCCCGGTTAATTAGTGAAGCACCCGGAAGCAGCGGCCTGGCCGCCCGACACCCCGGACCCGCCGCCGCCGAGAGAGAGAGACGGAGCCGCGGCGGAGCGTCTCTGGCGTCTCCCGGCCTCTGGTCCCCTCTCTCTCCCCCTCTCTCCCTCTCTCCGGCGGCCCTGAAAGAATCGATATCGCGGGGGGATCGATAACCCGGCATGAATATTCCGAGCCTGCAGACAGCCCGGCTCGGAGAGACGGAGAGACGGAGGCAGCAGACGGAGCGCGGCCAGCTGCCGCGCAGGGAAGCGGAGAAAACGCCTTGTTTTTGCTGGTACTGCTGCTGCGGGCTGGGCAGGATCAGGCGGCCGCCGCCGCTCGGCTCCGCCCGGGATTATCGCGCTCGTCCGTCCTTCCCGCTCGCCCTGCGGGTTCAGTTCGCCGTCTGCCGCCGCGTCGGGGCCGGATCCGCGCAGCCGGCCGGCCGGAGAGGGGGAGACGCGACGCGACGCGACGGGACGCTGCGGATGGGGTTTGGGGGGTTTGGGGGGTTTGAGGGGGGCGCCGCGTGCCGGACCGGCTCGGCTCGGGGGGTCGACGCCTGGTTCCCCGGCGCCGCGCGCCGCTGTTCCCTGCCTCTCCCTCCCCCCCACCCCCACCCCGGGAGGTGCTCGCGAGGGCGCCGGGGAGGACCGGCGAGCGGAAGATCAATAATGGTGATCAGGTCTTACCGTTCCCGGAGCGGAGGGCCAGCGGGGACTTGAGTCGCCAGGCTGCGAGGTCGGAGGCGGTTCTCTGAAACACGAACGGCACAGGCAGAGGCACGAACATGGTTCTTTGGAGAAAAGTCTCTTTGTTTAAAATTCTTCAGAGGACAGACGGTGGCGAAGAAGGAGAAGAAGAACGAGCGTCGCCTTCCGCTTTGTCGCTGTTTTTTTTTTGGTTTGTTTTGTGTTGTTTTTGGGGGGCTGGGTGTCTTTGGTCTGCGGGGGAGCGGGTCCCCGGCGAGCTCAGAGCCCGCGCGGCTGCGCTGCGGTCATGCCCGCGCTCGCGGGGCCGGCCGGTGGTCGCTCTGTCGCCCGCGCGGAGCCGGGCATGGGCGGCCGGAGAGCCGGGCAGGTGCGGAGAGGGAGCGCTGGCTGGCCTCGGTGCCCCCCGCCTCGCTGCTCGCAGAGGCTCTGGCGGCGAGAGCAGAAGCGCGGCAGCCGCGGTCCGATGAATATTAATATCTGGGGCAGGAGCGGCGGGGAGGTGAGGTTCCGCCGCACCGGCATCTGCGGGGAGCTGGCCGGCTCTCGGTCCGCTCCGGTCTCAGTTCATGTGTCCGGACTCGGCGCTGCCGGGGCCGCAGCGCGACCAATTAACACGCTCGGTAATTAATAGGCCGTTAATGAAATAAAGAGCGCGGGGACGGCCACCGGCGGCGGGGGCAGGTGGTGGGGTGCTGGGGGGGTGGGGGGGGTTGGGAAGGGGGGAGCCCTCTTCCCTGGACGAAAAGCGGGGTTGTTCCGGCTCCTCCTACGTCGGCTTGTCCCGTCGCAATCTGAGCCCGGGAGTCGTAATTAAAGCGAAGTCGATCGATAGATAAATAAATAAAATAAAGAAAGAAAGAAAACCTGCGGACCCTGCGTTGTTAATGAATAGTTACTTTCTGGGTTCACCTGTCTGTCTGAGCGCCTGTGTGTCCGTCCATGCCGTCTGCGCGTCTCTGCCTGTCCTGCCTGCTCCCCGTTATTTCCTGAACCCCAATAGCTGCGGCCGAGCCGGCTGCCTCCGCTTCTCTCGCGCTTCTGGCAGGGCTGCCTGGAACATTGAGGCGCGAGGTCCCGCTTCCCCGTGCTCATTACTCGCCAGCTCGCGCCCCCTCCCCC